GTACAATGAGTGTTCCATGTAAGATTGATTCTCTCCCGAAAAGCGAATGCTTTCAAAATCATGGGAGAGAAACAATGAAATATTCTAATAACGAATGGGACGGACAAACTTGTGTAGAGGGCAGACATTTCGTCTTTAAGGCATTGGTTTATGTTCATTAGTTAGGCAAGGTTTCCTATACAGTAATCTCACTTAAGGCTATATTAGCAGAAAACTTTAGTTTGTTATAGTATCATTCTTAAATTCCTTGTCGAAAATTACGTAAACCACTTGATTTCGATGACCTTTTAGCGTTTTATAATAAAACAAATGCTGATTTAATCATGAATCTAAAACATGTCACCGCCCATGAAAAAATTTAAAACAAAAACATGCGCTGAAACGCGGTTTTTTTTAATCGAACATGTTTTCGCTCGAATTTTTGCGTGTTTTTATAAGGCGTTCAGACGCGTTTTTTCTAATGAAAACGCTAAAAGCAGTTTTGAAAAGCTTTTTTGAATAAAATCATTGAATTTTTTTACCTCTGTGCTTGGTGGCGCATATGTCAGTTTGAGGTCGGAATTGTCTGTAACTAGTTCTTTCGCATGTATCGGATTTTTAGTTCTCTAAGCTATTAAAACAACAGCATATCAGTAACAAATCTTTTTTATAAATATCAGAAATACAAATATTTTATTTTGGACAAAGATATGCGTCTGGTTATCTGTTTTTGTGATATTCAATACATCTACCAACAGTAAAAGAATGCTAAATAATCAGAAAGATGACTTCTTTTGTTTCAAGCAGAACGATGTATAAAATGAGAGTGTTTTATTCAAAAATATCATTTGTATTGAAGGTAAAGCGATTAATTTTATGTGCATAGAGAACTCACAGACAAAATGTGTTAATCGGTCATAAAGAGATGTTGTGAACCGGAGGATAATATAGGGTTTTTTCGTTCTGCTTGAAACAAAAGAAGTCATCGTTCTGATTATTTAGCATTCTTTTACTGTTGGTAGATGATAATATAGGGTTTTTTCTGTAGCGTTGAATACACTCAAATGATATATTCAGGAGAACTAGCTGACAACAGTAGATAGAGATCAAAATTACCAGTCTGACATATCACCAGTTCCAATGCAGCTGTCTCTGTTCCGTCCGATAGTAACGATACACAATAGCACCAACATTATTAGTAAAGACTCACAGCATCACAACAGCCGAAATTTTGAGAATTTCGGCACTTTTGCAGCTTAGCCGGCGTTTTACCAGTCTCACCCGTTATTAACGAGGGAAACAGATTAGTGTCCCATTTAAACTGACGACCCTTTTTGGTTTCTCGAAAGAACTGACTTTCGAAACTGCGGTAAAAGAATGTACCATTTTACTCTCTGAATTAGTCTTGTTGTTGCTGTTCAATAGCTTTATGCCATTGTTCTTCAGTCGTGACATGTATATATTTAGGCAAATATTTGCTGAACAGGTGAAATGAACTGGTTTATTTTCCTTCTGAACCTCAGAGCCATTTTTACTTTATCTGAACGAAATGATTTCGCTGAATTGATGTTGCCAGCACACGGTAAATGGGGAAGCGAGAGAGGATGGGGCTATTGTTCGGTAAATAAATGGGCAATTGGCTTTGCACAAAAGGTTGAAGCAAATCGCGCACGAGCAGATGATACGGCAATGAATTCACTCAAACTAGTATGTGCGAGCTTCGACGGATCAGCCAAAGAACATGTGGTATCTGTTGAAGGGCATTGGGGAGATTGGGGTGATTTTGTTTATTGTCCTGGTGATAGCGGTAACTTTTTATCTGGAGCTGAATTCAAAATTGAGAAACCTCAGGGAGCCGGTATAGGTGCTCAAGATGATACTGCGGCAAATGATGTTCGTTTCAATTGTTCGAAATCCACAACCACGTTGACTGCTACCAACGGTGAAAAATGGGGGACGTGGAGAGGAATGGTGACATGCCCCATTAATGCGGCCATCTGCGGATTCTCGTTGATCTGGGAGGATAATCAACACGGTCTGGATGATACAGCAGCAAATGGAGCTAAATTCCAGTGTTGTTGGATAAGTATGCTGATTCTGTCAGACTTATAGTGCGTTTTAGGGCCTCAGAAAGTTCGAGCCTTATCCAGTAGTAATTCCGGTGATCACACCTGCCAGGCTCTAAAATACCCAAAGCAACATTCATTATGCCTTACCTTTTCGCGGGGATTCAGAATCTGGCCAGAAAATATATATCCAAATTTTGTTGAATGAACACCCATTTTACGAATATTTCTTAAATTCTGTTTAGACACATGTAATTATTCTCCATGTGAAAATGGAGCTGCTTGCCACTTCAACGGAACACATCATCGTTGTGATTGCGAACCTACCGGATTTACTGGACCCGATTGTAGTGCGTTAATTCATTTCCTAAAGAAATAAATCAACAATGGATGTATAAACTTTAGATCTAACATGTACAAATGGCGATAGATGCCGTAACGGTGGCACGTGTACGTTTAGGCAATGTTATTGTGCAGCTGGCTGGGAGGTAGGATTAAATTAAAGCGTTTTGGGTACATCTATATGCATAGTTTCTTTTTGTTTAGGGTCAAAACTGCGAGACGATGAAAAGTGAGTTGCTATTTAGTGAGAATGAAGCATAAGTCTTTGTCTGGCTTCCAGATCCTTGTGACAGTAGTCCGTGCAGAAACGGAGGTGTTTGTGTCCGGAATGATTTAAATTATCGATGTGATTGTGCATCTACGGGTTATCAAGGAACAAACTGTGGTGAGTACAGCTTATGAATATTTGTCTGATTATTTCTTCTAAATTTTGCTTAATAGAAGACTCTTAGAACGATTATGCACAGAAGTCAAAACCGAGGAATATGGAACAATCATATATATTTGTTGCTTGCGATGAGACAACCGAGCAATTGTCAGATACAGCCTACATATCTTCCACAAAGAAGGGGGTGTATCTGTGTGATCTAGAAAGAAGATGAATTATTGAATTATCTACGGGAAGAAGAAAAAGATATGGATAAAAAAGGAGAATGAACTGAAGATGATGTACATACGATGTGGAGAGTGTCAGAAAGACCGAGAAAAAAATTGTTGTCAAATATTAAAAAAAGAATAATCCTATAGTACGTTGCTGAAAGAGCTGAAAAAGAGAATGAAAAAATCACCTGAGAAACTACATCAGCAACACGGCGAGAAATGGGTTAGATTAAATCCATACGAATTCCTTAAATTTTAGAGAAAACCTGCAACGGCGGCTTACCATGCCAGCACAATGCGACTTGCAACAACGACGTTTGCGCTTGTCCACCTGCCTATGTGGTAAAGCACTTTTTCTGCTTCCGTGCCTACTTGTATTTAAGCATATAATAAAGTAGAGTAAAACAGTATTT